TTGCCCAATTTTATTCATGAACAAAGGAAAAAAACCAAAAATTACTAATTCCATGGTCTTTACCTCCCTGGGACCTGAGGGATAATCTAAATTTATCAGAATTAGTACTATCAAAATAAGAAGCTCTACTCCTGGACATTGAACAGTCAAACTGATGGCATAATTGTAATGAAACAAAGGAAATTTAATACCCCAGATTCAGATGTTCTGGAGTTATGGTTGGGCTCTAATGATAATATAGTGAAAATGAATAAATTCTTTAAGAACCTCTTCCCTTCTATGTCTAGGCGATAAATAAGGTGCATGGTTACGATAAACAAAGGTGCCTCTTTCAAAAATGTAAAATTTGTAGTCCCAAGGGTTCTGGTGTTTGGGGGAGAACTTCTTTTGGATATAAATTGAAAATACATTATCCCTTTAAAAAATTTCTTCTTTATTCCAGGTTATTTAGTAAACATACCACTAGTATGCATATGATGAGCAAGGGTGCTTCTTCCAAAATCGTTAATTTCATAGCTTGAGGATCAGGTGTTCTGAAGGGCAGGCCTAGGGTTCTATGGATGAGATAGTGAATATGCATAAATTCTTTAAAAATCTTCTTCTTTCCCAGAATATATATATAAAATACTAATTATGCGCAAAGATAATTCTTGCAAAATAATAAAATTCGAATTTCCTGGGTAAGCGGTTTTGGTGCTATGGCGAGGGTATATTGATTATATAGTGAAAATGTAATATTTTTTTGAAAATATTCCTCACTGCTCCTGGGTATGTAGCAGATAAACTAAGCACACCGTTGCGATGACAAATGTACCTCTTCTGGATCACTTGGTCGAGTGATGTGGTGGGGAAGGCTCTATTCCTTAGTATTCTACTGAGACAAGTTATTCCACTTTGCTACAAACTACTGATAATAAGTCGACATAAATGACGTAATTGAAAGGTCAATTAAATATTTCTTGTTGTTTATCAATATTTTTCACTCAAATGGAGACGCCACCATTTGCCGGTGGAGAGCTGCGAATTTTGACCTATACTCGGCACGTAGGGCCATTGAGCACTGGAGGGATTTTTTTTTTCCTTGCAAGGACCTACTGCGACACGGGGCCTCAGTTTTATGGTCTCATCCGAAGGACTGGTCTCCACGTCCCACGTTGGGATTCGAGCCCGCGACGTAAGGATCAAGTCTTTACTGTGCGACTCTATAACAAACGGTCGAACCACTGCGCCACTCGGGCGACCAATTAAATAAGAGAATTATATAAGATTTTTTTTTTAAATATACATAATAATAATAATAATAATTAAAAAAAAATACTTTTCTAGCTTTTATATGTAATGGTCAAAGGGACATGTAGGTAATAGATAAATAAAAATGAGACACAAATACAAGTACCTTATGTTTGCATACTGATTTTTTTTTAATATCAAGAGAGGCCACAGAGGAGGAGAATGGAATATTTTTACTTATACACTTATTGCTCAAGCAATATTGTTGCGTTTAGCGTTCAACTTACAGAGTAATGGTAGCAAATGGACAGGGAAATGAATATATTGTAAGATTTAATATCCAATATTAAACTTATTAATTTGTTGATCACTCATCATACTATTTCTCTTGTTTTTTGGCAACAAAGCCTCATATATATATATATATATATATATATATATATATATATATATATATATATATATATATATATATATATATATATATATATATATATATATATATATATATATATTACTGAAAATAAGTTATTTTTTGCCATTGCTGTATATGTAAACCATTCTTTTTTTCTTTTTTTTTTCTTTCTTTCTTTACTTTCTTTTTTTTTTTTGGTTTCTTTTTTTTGCTTTTTTTTTTTTTTTTGTTTTTCGGTTTTTTGTTTTGTTTTTTTTTTTGTATGAGTACCGGTAAATAATGATAAATACATAAATACAATACATTAATTTTACGCGATTGATACTATTCAGTAATAATGGATTCCTTTATTGTGCTTTAATACCGGTAAATTCAAGAATATTTTTACTTTGCTTTGAATATTATAAACATTGTACCTTAATGAAGTCTTCTAGTTGAAACCTTTTTTGATAAAGTTTAATTTTCAACAAAAATAACTTTCAAAAATTCAAATTTTGCTTCAATACTTTAACTTTGTTTTGTAACCTCTCTGCTGCCATCGGATAAGTCAGACAAAGCTTTGTCGGACTGATATAAATATGGACCATAACAAGGTCGATACAGATACATTATAGTACAAATACAGACATTAATAAATATGATAAGAAGGAAAGAAAATGGGGATACGTCTAAAACAAACTTATTATCTCCGTTTTAATGTTGAGTTGTATCAATCAGCTTGTAGTCCTCAGTTTTACGGAGATCTCTGCTCTATGGCATGCGGTAACTGTAGTGAGGACAGACCATGTCACCATGTCAACGGAAGCTGTACCAACGGATGTGATGTCGGAGTTTTTGGAGATAAATGCAAAACACGTAAGAACTGTCATAAATTGAATAAAATAAGCATCTATTTTTATTATTTATATTATTATTATCAAAAATGTTTGTGGATCGTCTTTAAAAAAAAAAAAAAAAAAAAAAAAAAAAAAAAAAAAAAAAAAAAAACTCGCCTACTTGTCCTTTCTGGAGAATATTCTAATTGTTGAAAGTAATGATCTGAACAAAAATTAATTTAAAAGACATTTTCTTAGGCTGCAGGCATACTCTACCTCTGATTTCTGCTTTTGTAACTGTAAGGCAAAGTTAAAGTTTTAGAGTTATTTAACCCGCATTATATACTGAAACGGAAAAGAAACACAACAAGCAGTAATCTACAAATATTTGAATATATTTAATGATTTTCAAAAATGAATACAGTAAGGTAAAACTTAATTTAAAAACATTAGAGATTTGATAAAAATGCTAAATGATTATCTTTTAACTTTAGAAAGTAACACATGAATGTTAAAACACCCCTAACCCCGTTCATTCAATTACAGCGTGCTAGACTGCCATGCACAACAATTGCAGCTTGATTTCTACAATGCAATAGGTTCATCAATCTCGAGATCTGAGGGAAAGAAATATTCTTTGCCATTTTTAAATGCTCGTTTTTCAGACGATAGGGTCGAATTTTCTCTAGCCTAGTGCAGTGTAGTAGCCTTTGGACTTCTGGTCCAAGGACTGTCATTCATGCTAATAATACTTATGAGCATTTGAGGAGTGATGTAGAGCATATTTGCATCTGCAACTTTCCATCACCTTTATTTTGAGATTTTCTAGCTAGAGAAATGGAAATATGTACTTTTCAAGAAATCTTGGCATCGCTTACGGAAACGAAAAGAGAATTCATTTTTCGGAATATTGATGCATTTCTTATGATGAACAGATACAAACCCTTAAAACTCCATATTATTACTAAATGTTTTGTTATACATGCAATTTTTTGATTTCTGTTAAGCGGACTCAAACATAACTTCCGGCAATGGTATTAAAATCATTTAACCGTTAAATTACCAATATTTACAAAATTGAAGACGTCCTTACTTTTTAGATACAAAATTATATCCTATATATAATATTTCCTCCTAAAAAAGGATGTTGCGTTTCTTTTGCGTTTCAGTATATTTATACCTCGTTCTACTTGTATGACTATATGTACATTAAAATGTAGGGCCGACTCGAACTCTGTTTTACAAATGAACTTACGATTAAAAAACAGTGGAATGAAAATCTTAAAAAAATGATAATTCTCTAAAAAAGCATAAAAAATATTTTTGAAACTCTTTTTTTCAATAACATTACTTCCGTTTTCAAATTAATGCTAAGAATAAAGTAAGAAAAGGCCCTGAACCGGAAGTGGAAATGCCAGAAAACATTTTTTGCGAGACGGATGTGATTGAAAAATACATTTATTGAAACCTTTAAAAACATCATTAAGCATGGATCAAAATACTGTTTTTGACATGTTTGCTATAAGTCTATTGTCTTTTGTTTTATACATTTACGCCTAATACAACCACACTATATTCTTGCCAGTATATATACATGCTAAGAGTCAGTGTCTTCCCTCAGACTAAACAGGTCGGGTACACAACATTTTACTGAAGGCACATTTCAACACGTGACGATGTTTTTGTCAAACGTATTCTCCAATCAAGATCATGACGATATACTACATGTTTACCATTCAACAGCGACATGTAGTTGTCGTCGGTTTACTGCATAATATTTACTTGGTTACCAGAAGAAAAAAAAACTGTACAGTTCTTTTCTTTTTCTTTTTTTTTTTACCTTATACGGCAGAAATTCGAAGATTATATTCCAAGGACCCAGCTCCATGCTTACATTTAATATTGAAGTTGTTTTAGATGATTAATAGTTGCATCAAATAACGTACACATGCCATGCCGTTTGCATGTACATAAAACATTTTGATGATATTGAGGAGTTTACTAATAATTGCGCACCTTGTACTGCTATCTAAAAAGATGCGCACTTATATATCACGAAAAAAATTACATGTAATGTTTTATCGACACAATAGCACGTACGTAAACAATAGTTTACACCGATAAATTACTCGCTGATATACATGTAACTAAAGACTAACTAGAGCATTTTTTTTCTAAACGTGAGCTTAGAAATGAGAGATTACACATCATTTTCAATATTTCTTTCATAAATGTAAAAAAAAAAAATAAATAGATAAATAAAAATAAAAATAAAATAAAATAAAGAATTGAAAATGGGTTTCCAAGGGACTCTGTTAAGTTGCTTTAAATTTTCAACACAACTGAATTCGTTCATGTACTTGTAGCCCATAATTCATCGCGACTCATTCAAATGATTGGTCAGTAAACAGTAGATAGCTAATTTAACATGCAAATTAACGCTGATATCAGAAAATCTAGTAGTCTCGACCTGCTAAAATGTCACCGATATCTTTTTCTTATTCTTTGTGGAAAAAAATATAAACTTTGCTCCTTTTCAGCATGTCCTGTTGGTTGGCATGGGCATAACTGTTCTCAGATGTGTAGTAACTGTGATCAGTGTGACAGATTAACGGGACAATGTACATCTCCATGTTACCCTGGATGGAAGGGACTCTTTTGCAGGGATGGTAATTCACATTCCTTTCTTAAAAAATAAAATCCAAAGAAAACATTTTAGGTGTTAAAACAATGTACATGCACCGTGTACAGTGTACCTATGAAGAATATTATTAATTTATTAATTATCCAGAATGGAGATGATATTCATGAATATTGTATTGCATCACATCCACTACATACCTATATAATGGAGATCGCTTCAAGAATAAACAAAATAATGAATAAATAAAAATTTAAAAAAAAAATCAAAGAAAATATTAGGGTCTTTTTTTTTAAGGAATGGACTGCTTTAGATTAAAAAAGCCTATTGAAGAATTCGCAATCATATACCATCTCTATTATTTTTAAGGGTATAAAAAATCATCAAAACAATTAGGAAGTGATTTTCAATCAACATTATGTCTCTTATTAAGTCAATGAAAATCATGCTTGGATTCCCAGCTTGTAACAAAAATTACTATACTTAACTCTATTTATATAATAATAAACAGTTATGGAATGAGTATGACCTAATTAGCACGGTTTTGTTTAGCTGAGGGAGGGAACTATGTATTCGCCGTCTTAAGAAATTTGTTTCCTCCCTTGGGGAACCAAAAAAGTGCTATTTTCGGAGTACCCATTCCGTAACTGCTAAATTATATCGAAACAACGGAGGGAAATACATGAACCAATAAACCAGACATTTTTGACATTATAGAAGCATTCAAATCATCACAAATACATTCATCTAAATTTTATTACATAATTTATTGCATTAGTATTGAGCGAAAAATTAATATGTTTTAAAAATTATAATGTCACAGATATTGAAAAAAGTTATCGTGTTTGTCATTTTGCTATAATTCCAGATTGTTTTTTGAAGTGGCATGTCTAACGTGTTATGAGCATTTTCATCGGTTTAAAATATCATTGAATATTCATGAAGGAGTAGTCCTAGGCTCTAACTCTGATTTTACAGGAAGCAATCCTCATATTCAAGAAGTTTTTTTGTCAGGAAATTGACAGTTTTATGGTATTCATTTGATATAGAGTAGTAATAGTAGAGGTATAATAATGTTAACTATAGTTTACTGTACTACATACTTTGGTACTTTGATTTATTTTGAAACCTTTGTTCCTTTTCCCTTAAGGGTTTAAGTTGTCTTTATAATTTTAAATAATGTATAGATTTTTTATACAAGGAAATAAATATCAGATTTAGAAAACAAGTAAAGTTACAAATTAAATATAACCCCAAATATAACATACCATGATGTACTTTGATTTTAACACCATGCCTTTGACCTTGACGTTTCACTCATTTTTCTTTTTTTAAAAGTTACTAAAAGCTTTTGAACTCGAGAGGAAAGAGAATTTATATTTTATAGGCGCATTACCTGTTTCAAGATTTTACCGAATGTAGTTTGGTTTTTAGACCTCGTGACCTTGACCTTAAAATTTGACCTACAGTCTTTTTCAGTTTTTTCTTTCATTGATGATAACTTTTTAATGTCCGAAGATGGGGTTTTCATATTTTATATGTAGATTGCATAAGACAATACGTTTGACCTCATGTCCTTGACCTACAAGTTTAAAAGACACACAAACAACATCTCACAATTATGCAATAAATAATTTCATCCCAACCACTAAGACCCCCGAAAGCTGGAGACCAAATTTAAAATTGTTTGTCTAATAAAATCTCTCCTTAGGACTGTCTTAAATGATAAACAGATGTGTACACAAAACTAATGGTTTTTCTGCAATATTCTCGTTTAGTTACAAGGAGTAGATTACTCCAGGATAGACCGGTCTATCCTGCAGTATAGGGGCCTTTATAGACGGTAAAAAAAATGGAAAATACGAAAAATGTAAAATGCGCTGGACCGGTCTATCCAGGCGTATAGGGGCCGTTATAGACGGTTAAAAAAAAGTCAAAATAAGAAAGTCTATCCAGGATACCGTATCAAAAGTCTCAAAATGCGCTGGTCGGGTCAACTTAGTGCATTTTTCCCCCCTTTTTTTAAAAAAAAATACAAAAATCAAAAAAAAAAAAGATTTTTTTTTTCAATTTCAACAAACCTTTATTATTGATCCAATACAATACAATACAATACAATAATAAAAGAAAAAAAAGTGTCAATTCTTTTTTTTTCTGGACTTTCATGCATTTCTTTTGTCACTCTCTCTGTATTTTTTTCCTTTTGTTCGAGGTTTTATTTATCCTTACGAATCTCAGCCATCACTTCTTCTTTAAACACAGCAATTTCATCTGTTATGATTTCTCTAAACTCACAGTGATCCTTCTGAAGTTGTACCATTATATCACTTGTTTTCTCCTGATCCTGAATCATTTTTCTTATTATACTGGCTATTTCCTTCTGGTTCTCTTTCATAATTTGAATTATATCACATATATCCTCTAGGATTTTTTTTATCCCTCTTCTTTCATGTAGTTCAATACCAGCCATTACTGTTGCCAATTCAAACATATCATTCAGAGTCCTGGAATTTTCTTCTTCCATCTTAAGGTTTAGTTTGGTTTAAAGTCCCTGACTAAAATATAAGACTGATCCTATATACTCTCAGGTCTGGTTTATATACCTTTTTGATCCATTCTATTTTTAGTTTCTACTTTTTTTTTTAGTTAAATCTATTTTTAATCTCCACTATTTTTATAAGTTTAAAACTATTTTTAGTTCTTTTGTAAGTATTATTATAACACCACGAGATCCTATTCTTAAAACACCTGTGCAGTAGTGGCGTGTGCAAAAAAAAAAGTTCCTCCTACTTAAAATCTTGGCACCGATCCAAATCACAGCGACCTATGCATTGTGACGTCATCTATTGTATAAAAACCGTCTTCTTTTGACTTTCAGCTCATTCTGTTGTTAAAAATAAACATGGATCGTTTCACACGACAACTTAAGAAATGGAAAAAAAGAGAGAAAGAATTAGATAAAATTCTTCATAACAATAGAGATAGAGAATTAGATCTTAAAAAACGAAATGCCTTGTACTTACAAAGAATACAGAAAGCCAATCGTCATCAACAAGTACAAGCCTTACGTCATGTAAATAGAGAAGAAGAACCAAATTCTTCATCTCATTTACCACCACCTCATTCACCACCAGGGAAACCTAAGTCCATTTCCCAGTATTATAAAGTGAGATTAGATTCCACCAGACATTCCAGAAAATTTAAAGCCAAAGAAAATAAATACAATATCAATTTTGAGGAATTTCCAGAAGAAGAAAACAAAGGATTTGTTCGGCGATTATTTAGAGATATGTTAAAAACTGTCAAATATGAAATGCAGTGTAATCCTAACGATTACTTACGCTTGAACATACGTCATCCTTCTCTGAAATCTGAAATCTGGTACGAGTTTACCCAATGTAAACATTTAAACGAGGAGGTCATTTTAAACAAAATAGAAGCCGTTCAACAATCTAAAAAAGATTTTAAACTGGGAGACGGGTCTATTGAATTCGACATGTTTCATGTGAAATATCCTCAAGGAAGTGGTGGAAATAATACCAAACACCTGATGATCAATAAGGACACTTTCCTTAAAGGAAAAAAATCTATCGTTCAGATCGACAATCCCTGGGATAAGATGTGTTTAGCTAGAGCTATTGTCATCACCCGGTTACACAGTGAAAAGCCAGAAAATCCCGACCTCGAATGGGAAAAAAGATGGAAACGTATGCGGGTAGGAGATGTAAGGGGTAATGATCAGAAAAACCAAGCTATAGCTCTCATGGAACAAGCCGGATGTGATATTCATCAATCTTGTGGACCCGAAGAATGGGGGAAATTACAACAAGTGTTATATCCTCAATATCGACTGAAAATATTTCAGATCAAGTCTATGTCTTCTAAATTCTCCTTAGAACCTATCTACAAAGGGAATGGATAAGGAATTTCTTTAAACATTTTGTTAGAAGATCATCATTACCATGCCATTTTATCCATGCCTGGTATCACAGGGTGTCAATATTATTGTGATCATTGTGATGTGGGGTACAGAAACATCACAGACCATCGATCCAAATGTCCTTTTCGATGTGATTTTTGTTTATCTTACCCTCCATGCCCTAAAGACGGGAGCCAGATTTCATGTCCTCATTACTAGGGATTTTTTAAGAATAGAGGTTGTTATGAAAATCATTGACGACCTTACAGTAAAAATACGACAACAACCATCTGTAATTTAATGGGACGATGTGATGCCTAAAAAATTATTATCTCATCACTTATGCGGAGGACGGAAACAATGTAAGATCTGTAAGAAAATTGTACAGAATGATCATCAGTGTTACGTTCAACAGAAACCTCCCAAAAAGAAGAAGGAAAAAGAGACATTACAGATTTACATTTATTTCGATTTCGAATGTACCCAGGAAAACGGCATTCACATCCCTAATCTGTGTGTAGCACATCGGGTCTGTCAACATTGTGGGCATTTACCCATTGAGGATCCTTGTCCTCATTGTCGACACATGGGACCCCGTCAACATGTGTTTAAAGGATTAAATACCTTAAAAGACTTCATGGACTGGTTATTACAACCCATCAGCAAAGGAGATAAGCATGGTACTTTATTACACGACGAGGCCATCATCATTGCTCACAATTTCAAAGGATATGACGGACAGTTCATTTTAAATTACCTGGTGCATTCTGCTTGCATTAAACCCACCGTCATCCAAAACGGGAGTAAAATCTTATCCATGGAAATCCTTGGATTGAAATTCATCGATTCTTATAATTTTTTACCTTTTGCTCTGTCCAAGATGCCTTCCGCTTTTGGATTCACCGAACTGAAAAAGGGTATTTCCCTCACTTTTTCAATACGGTACAGAACCAGAATTACGTGGGACCTTATCCCCCTCCAGATAAATACAATCCGGACGACATGACTATTAGTGGACGACAAGCTTTTTTCCAATGGTACGATCAACAAGCTGGAAAAGTGTTTGATTTCCAGAAGGAATTTTTAGAGTATTGTATTTCCGACGTCGA